ACTGCTGCCCGCTACTATACTGTCACGAGAATCGGGAATTCGTGAGCCAGGGGGAGTGTAGCCAATCTAGGGGGGGTGGGGGTGAGGGCAGTCACTTGACATGCGTGAAAAGCTGGGCGTGCCCACCCCACTTGTATAGAGCCGAGAAGTGTATTCGCGGGTTAAACGAGTATAAAGAGTAAGACAGGTAAAAAATAAAATTTAAGCCGACAAACCGGAGAATTAGGAAACAATACTGAAAAAAGCGAATGATATGTGGGAGCAGAGCAGGTTTCGAAAGGATCGATCAAAAGGATAGTCCCACGAGAGAGTGACCTTTGGGTAGAGCAAAAAGAGCGTTGTACTCTGGCCTTTTTTATGCCATAGGCGAATATGAAAGTGCAAAAAAGAGGGCAAGGTGATTCCAAAAAATAATAGGTTACTTCCCAATGAATAATAGGTTCACCATTCTTCCTGGAGCTTTATACCCCTTCGAAAATTGCAACTGCTCTAGTCAAAACTGGTAGTTGCATTGAAATGTCCACCTCCTCCCAATTACTGCATAGGCGCTGAAGGTAAATGTTGATATACGGTAGCTTGGGTGAGCAGGATCGTAAGGAAAGGTTACAGTAGAATCTGGTGGAAGAGAAGGATAGGAAGGGCGAAGAAAGAAGCCGCGGGCAGCCATTTTTACCGTTGCTGGAATCAATTACGCACTACATTTCACGATTACAAAGAGGGTAGTGGTGTTCAAAGAAACTGTAGGTGCTAGCCTGCTCGCAGTCAGTACCTCATTACCTGGTTTCCTTTTTGAACAAAGGACTGGCTCACGGCTCCGGCGCATTCCCCTCCCAGCCCTTGGAAAATTGCAGTTGCTGCAGCCAGCACAAATATTTCACTTGAACGTCCCCACCTCCCCACCGCCTTGCCGAATAAGCACTGAAGGCAAATGTTGGCAACACGGTAATTTGGGTGAGCAGGATCGTGCAGCAAGGCAACAATGGAATCTGATGAACCGGCTGGAGGAAACAGACCAGAAAACTGGAATCACAGCATTTTTCACTGGTGATGGAGCAGATCAAGCACTACATACAGGGAGGGCCAAAAAAGAGTCACTTGCCCATGGCGCACATCATCAAATTTTTCGTCGCACAGGATGCCGTTGTTGATGAATGTTTTACGGCAGAATATTCCTTAGGTGTCCCCCATAAGCAGAAGCAGGCCCTCCTTCACTGCCCCACCGTCTTCAAATGACGTCATCTGCCGTCACCGAGCTCAACGAGGCTTACCGTAATCGCTCCACCTGAAGCTGCTACATAATTTCTTCAATCGGATTAACTGGTGAATAGCTTCCAGAGACACTAGCTGTGACTGTGCAAGACCGCTTTTGACCAGCGTTTCAGGGACGTCGTAATGGTCTATGGTACCTCGACGACCTCGTTGAGCTCGTACCGTGAACCATGTTTCCGTGGGAAAATCTTGTCGTCGGTGTAGAAGGCTGTTATGTAACTTTTTGATAGATTAGAATGTGCTCTTCAATATTCAGTTGAGCTCATTTGGTTTGGTTTCGCAACGTGTAATTAATTCTGTTGTGGGGTGGAGGGCGGTGACGCTTTTTTTGCCCTCCCCCCTGTAATTTACCCCATGATTGCATGGAGAAGCTCAAAAAAGAACGAGACTGTAGATGGCAAGTAGCCAGCCTTGAAATCAAATTAGTGAAGACGTCGATTTCGGGGCGGAGTCAGGAGTGATAGGCGGAGTCACGGCTAAGGGGCGGAGCCTGTGGGAAGAACATCGGCCTTGATTCACAATTTCAAAACACAAGCCGAATCTGATAAAATCGGTATGCTTCCAAAGCAGTCTTCCCTTCTAGCGCGTGTATTTCACTTCCTTGCGAAAAGGGGGATACTCAAAACCGAACCAAGGTAAAAGGAGCTCAGTAGGTAGGGCGATCGGCCGCGCCGACCGGT